CACAGGCTGGGAGGATTTGGGGGCCAGAAGGAGCGGAAAGAAAACGCATGGGCCGGGGGGGGATTTCGGGGGCAGGAAGGAACTCAAACAGAAAACGCTCGGACTGGCAAGGATGTCGGGCCCAGGCAGGATTTCAACCAGGAAGCAACTGGGAAGGATTTCTGGGACTATGGGGGGTTTTAAAACCCCCCCCCCAGACCAGGCGCTTCCTGCTCACCATCATTCCTGGCCCCCAAAGAAAATCCTGCCCACGCCGGGGGCCCCCCGTTCAAAATCCCGCCAGGCCCCGGAGCCCGCCCTGCCCGAGCGCTCTCTGCTTAAATATTCCGGGGGCCAAGGCCCCATCCAGCCCGGGCGCTTGTTTCTGCTAAATCCCCCCCGGCCCCAAACCCCCCCCAGCCCCGCCGTTTTCTGTTTGGGGCCAGCGATGATGGCGCGAGGAAAAAAAGCCCAGGCTGGGAAGACTTCCAGGGCCAGGAAAGACGTTGAACATGAAAACGCTTGGTCTGGGAGAGCTCAAACGCCCGGGCCGAGAAAACATTCGGGACCTGGGAAGATCTCGCGCAGAGAACCGCATGGGCCGGGAAGAACTGCGGCGCCAGGTATGTCTCCAAAAAGAAAACGCCCAAGCCGAACCAGATTCCTTGGCCGAGAAGGATTTTGCACGGTTATATGTCAAAAGGAACCCGAACATAAAACACTTGGGCTGGGGGGATTCCCAGGCCAGGAATGAGTCAACACAGAAAACGCCCCAGCTTGGAAGGATTCGGGGGCCGGGGGGGATTCCACTAATTATGAAAACGCACGGGCTGGGAAGGGCTCGCGGGCCAGGGGTGGTTCTAAATACGAGACGCCTGGCCGGGCAGGACCCCAGGGCCAGGAGTACGGGATGCGAAGGATTTGGGGAGCAGGAAGGACTTCACAAATAAAACGCCCCGGCTGAGAAGGATTTCGGGGCCAGCGCGACTCTCGAACAGAACGCGCCCTGGCTGGGCAGGATTTTGCGGCGGGGAATGATTCCGCTCAGAAATCGATTGTGCTGGGAAGAATCCGCGGGCCAGGAATGACTCCACCAGAAATACGCATGGACCAGGAAAGACGTCGGGGCCAACAATGACCCCCCAACGAAGACGCACGGGCTGGGCAGGATTTAGGGGCCATGCCGAATTTTTCACAGCAGGCGCCAGGGGCGGGTGAGATTTTGGGGCCAGGAAGGATACAAACAAGAAAACGATTGGGACGGCGCGGACACTGGGGCCAGGGGGTTGTGCAAAAGCCCCCCTGACACCGAAATCCACCCAAGCCCGGGCACCCCCCGCGCAAAATGCCCTCCGGCCAAAAAAATCCCCCCGGCCCGAGCGCTTTCTGTTGTCAATGAGCCAAACGCGCAATCCCTCCCAGCCCAGGCGCCTTCCGTTGAAAAATCATCCTTGGCCCCATAATCCCCCCCAGCCCATGCGCCGTCAAGTCGGAAACCTCCCTGGCCCGAAAATCGCCCCCAGCCTGGGCGCCATCGGCGCAGAAATCCGCCCCGGCCCCTAAATCATGCCCATCCAAAGTGCCGCCCATTTAAAATCATATCCAATCCCAAAATCCGCCCTGGCCAAATCGCTCTGCGACACCCCCACTACCCTCAAAATCCCTCGGCCAGAATTTGGTATGTAAAATCCTTCCTGGCACCAAAATCCGCGGTCGATGCATTCTGCGCAAGACCGACCCTGGCCCCCAGAATCCCCTCCAGCCCAAGCGATTCCTCTCTGGAACTCCTAGCCCAAAGATCCTCCCCAACGCATGCGATTTCTTTGGCCCGCTCTTTGCCCAGTCCTGCCTGGCCCCTGAATCCCTCCGGCCCACGCGCCCACTGCACAAAATCCCAACCCTCAACACCCATCCAACCCAGGCGCCATCTGCGCAAAATCCCCCCCTGCCCAAGGACTCGCCCCAGACCGAGCGCCATCCGTTGAAAATGCCCCCTGGCGACAAAATCCCCTCCCCCTACGCGCGCCTTCTCCGCCAAAACCCCGCCCGCCCGCTTTCTGCGAAAATCCACCCCGGCGCAACATGCTTCCCAGCCAGGGCGCTTTCTTCGAAGATCTGCCTAACCCCGAAGGAACCCCCAGGCCAAGCGCGCCCCGTCGAAAATCCCCCCTGCCCCGATAATTCGCCCGCCCGAGCGCTTCCCATGCGAAATCCCAACTGGCCCAGCAACACCTCCCCACACCTGGCGCCTTCCGCGCGGAATCTCCCATGGCGCAATATCTCACCCAGCCCGTCCGCGGGCAACGGGGCACCATGCCCGATGGCCGATCTAGGTAGACGCTGGCAAGCCCCATGGCCACCTCGCGCTGGTCGGCTACACCCGTGATGAGCATGACCTGCGCGTGATCTCCGATATCACATTCGCACGTGAGACGTCGGACTCGCGACGGCCCCACTGCGGCGCAGGCGTCGCCCCATCGGACGAACAGTTGGATGACCCTCGGGTGGATGAGCTTGGCTGGATGCTTGGGCCCATTGGCTTTTGGATTGGTGCCTTCGCGTCGCCAGAGCCCACTCGTGCGGGATGGGCTTCGAAAGCGACGATGGCGATGGGGCCTGGTGCTCTGGTTTCCTTGTTGCGTTCGAAGCGTTTGACTGCCGCGGTGCAGCAGTTAGCCGCGCGCAATAGGTGTGCGCTGGCATAGATGCAGTCTGGTGGCTTCACACCCGTTGCCTCTCCTGGGGCCCGGTAGCCGCGCCCACCCATGCTGACGCATGCGGCCGATGTTCTCGACCCTCGTGGAATTGAAGAACAAGCCGTGGGCGGAGGCGTGTTCATGTGGCCCCGCTAAATCGAATGTGGCCCATGGGGAAGAGAGTAGCTCCAGAGGTGGCGGCGTCTTTTCTGACCCACGCAATGCCGTTGACTTTCTACTGCAGGATCGCCTCGTAGAGAACGATGATACGGGCTGTGGGGTCTGTCCCGTCTGCTGCGTCGGTGCGACTGCGAAGGAGCGATTCGCGGACCTCCAGAGCCCCGCTGGCCTGTGGATCCCTGGACCAGACTCGCTCTGCGACTGTGTCGTGATGTGAGCTGGGGACTGTGGGGTTCGGTGGTCCCTGATGAGTGTTTTGCTTGCCCTGTCTGCCGCCTAGTACGGTGGTGGTACTGTGGCAGAAGTGCTTGGTCGATTGGTTCGTAGTTAACCACCCGCTGCTGTGGCGAGTCGTTCCCAATGGCACATGGTATCGCTGCATGGCTGCGCGGGCTGGCCCTGGGCTGCGGTGCTACATGCCCGACTGGGCTGGTGCCTCGTCGGCCTCGGCGTGGGCTGTGACTGCGGCTGCGGTTCCGTGTCTGGTTGCGCTGTCCATGACCTCTTGCCGCTGCCGCTATCCAGGAGGTCGCAGCATCGCACAGATGTTGTTGATGGTGGCCGTGGAAAAGTTCACGTCCGCTGGCTGGTGTGCGACGAAGGGTGTGGCGAGATCCAGAGGCACAGCACTAGCTCTGGTGAGAGTGCTTAACCAGGGACTTCTGCCGCAGCATCTGCCCAGGTTCTCAGTGGTCCATGGTCCAAGCACGACTCCCCTGTGCGGATGCTGGACGGATCCACGATCCCGTGCCCGACGCACACTGCCGCAAGGCTAAGCATTGCCCTCTGGTGCTGGGTTGTGTAGACGTGAACCCAGGACCAAGTCGAAGTAATCCACGCGATGACAGTGGAGAGCAAATGCAGGGTGGCGTTTCATACTCGAGAGGACAGAGGAGAGAAGAGAGGAGAGGAGAGGAGAGGAGTGGAGAGGAAAGGAGAGGTGAGGAGATGAGAGGAGCGGAGGGAAGAGGAGAGGAGAGTAGGAGAGGAGAGGAGGAAAAGAGGAGGAGGAAGAGGACAAGCAGCACCAGGAGAGGAGCGAAGCAGAGCGGAGCGGAGGGGAGCGGGGCGGAGCGGAGCGGAAAGGACAGGAGATGAGAGGAGAGGATGGCGGGGAAGAGGAGACGAGGAGGACAAGAGAGGAGAGGAAGCAGGGACGTGGATGGCGGGGAGGGGGGAAGGAGAACTGAGGAGGGCGGGCGGGGGGAAGGCGGAGGAGAGGGGAGAGAAGATGAGAAAAGGGGGGCGAGGAAATGACGGCAGGGAGGGGGAGGTATCCGAAGTGTCCAACAAATATTTGAGCGTAACGAACAACAAGCCTGGAACGGGTGGTAGAGGCCCCACGACCCCACTTGCGACCACGGCCACGTGACCCAGGTGGATCCCCCACCACCAGGTGCCTCCCAAACGGGGCTGGAGCGAGTGGGGTCAAAGGATCGCGCCGCATCGCTGAAGTATCGGCGATGCATCGGCGACGGCGGGATGCAGAAGAGCGATTGCATGATCGCGCCGCATCGCCGATGCATCGGCGATGTGGCGCGATGCTCCGACCCCATCTACCCTTGCCCCGGTGGGAGGCCTGGGAAACAGGCCCCCACTCAAGACCTCCAGAGGGAGCAGAAGGACACGGCAGTGCCTACGCCTACCCGTGGCCGAGGCCATGGTGGCCCACGCACCGCCGTAGGACCAGGATGACCATGGCAAATTAAGCATGGCGGCGTCCCAGACACCCGATGTGCTTATGTTTTCGATAACTAGGTGTCCCCCCGACTTCTGGACCCTTTCGTGGGGCTCGGCTCTGTCTTGCTGCGGCCCTGGAGCGCGAAGACAGCCCCTGGAGGCGGACAATGGCGAAACATGTCTCCGCCTTAACTTGTGCAAGACGCTGGGAGGCCTGGCGTGTACGCGCCTCCCGAGGACGAGGACACGCTTTACGCAACGCGGCAAAGGCAGCTCGCACGCGCGCCCGGGCAAGCTGGGCAACGACATCGCTAACTGCCCGGCGGCGAAAGCGAAAAAAGCGGGGAGGCGGCCGCGGGGCGGGGGAAGGGAGGGAAGGCGCTCACGCGGCGGGAGCCGAGGACGAGGAAACAGCATCTCCCTCTCTCAATCTCCCTCTCCGCGCGCGCCGGGGCCAGGGCTTGCCCGCCGCCAGGCGCACCGGCGATACTCCACCTCGGCGCCCTCCAGCTCGAAGGCCTCCCGCGGCACCTCTGGAAGGACAGAAAGCGGCGCAGGCATGACGAGGAGCAATGATAGGGGGGACAGGCATATAGGGGAAACATCGACCTGGAATCGGCGACACATCGCCGATGGATCGGCGATAGGCCCCCGATAGTGAATCCGAATCTCCCTGGGCAGGCTGGGGCTATCGGGCCCATATCGGCGATCTTTGTGCGGTTAGGGGTCGATGCATCCTTCCCTATGCCTATCCCCCCCCTGTCGTTGCCCCTGACATGAGCGTTCGAAAGTCCGCGCGGAGTTCCCTGGCGCGCGAAGCGCGCCAGGGGCAGCGCCGAAGGCGCCGCCAAAAGGGACCCAGCGCAGACTCAGGAAATCGGCCAGGACCTCCCAAAGGTTTGGTTCATCCACATGTTTCTTCTTCGATTTGGACCTCATGGGGGGGCCCTCGTGGAGAGGGCTGCATGCAGACCGAACAACTGGCCAGTGTGGACCTCAGTCCAGGGGCCAGTTTTAAGCGGATCCTGGTTCGGGGGGGGGGGGCGGCAATGCCGCTCCAAGACGGAACCAAAAAAGCCCAGAAACACACTAATAAACGAACACAAATCCCAGAATCGCCCATATTTTCAATATTTCCTGGATGTTCGTCTCCCCCGCCACTTCTGTTATTTTCCACATTTTCCCGCGCACCGACGATTTGTTGTGTCTGTGTGCTTTTGTTCCTCCTGAGTTAAGACGAAGCCAGGACGAGGATGAACTCGAGTGAGGATAAACCGAGAATCTCGATCCGGCAGTTCTGGAGGATGCATCGGGCGCCGCGGCCTTCTCAGAGCGTTCCGGAAGGCAACGCTCCGAGAGCGGTCCAGAACGCTCTGGAACGGACTCATCTCGTCCTAGCCTTAAGTCGGGCATGTCCCCCTACAGGCGAACTTTGAGCGAAAAATCAAAAATACTCGAAAAACACTCCCAAATGGTAAAAAATAGTCCCAACAAAAAATCCCCTGACTATTCCCCAATCAGAGCTTGCCTATGTAAGGGTCCTAGCGGATTCACATAGTTTGGTTAGGTTTGCCGCCGATTTTCGCCGCACGCCAGGGTGCCCGGGGGTGCCCGGGGGTGCCCAGGCGTGCCTGGGGGTGCCCGGGTGCCCGGGGGTGCCCTATAGCCCTATAGCCCTATAGCCCTATAGCCCTACAGCTCAATAGCCCTATAGCCCTATACCCCTATAGCTCAGTAGCCCTATAGCCCTATAGCCGTATAGCCCCATAGCTCTATAGCCCTATACCCCTATACCCTATAGCCCTGTAGCCCTATAGCCCTGTAGCTCTATTACCCTATAGCCCAATAGCCCTACAGCCCATATAGCCCTATAGCCCTACAGCCCTGAAAAGATGATGATTGGGTTTTTCTCCCGTCTAATGTTTCAAACTATGTTTGAACATTCCTCCTGTAGAGGGACAGGCCCGACCGCGGAGAAACGCCGGGACCTCCCACCGTTGGCTCACGCCGGCTTCTGCCCCTCGGCACCACCTCGCCCGGGCCGCCGCTCCGCGCGGGGAGGGCGGGCCGCGGCGGGCAGAGCCACGGGGCGGCTGGCTCTCCCGGGCCGCCCAGGGGGGCGCTGCTCGGCGCCTGCAGTGAGACGAAGCCGGGACGAGGAAACGACCGGGTGGGGAAAAAAGAAGGGGAACCTCCGAGACGCGGCGGCTCGGGAGGATGCCTCGGGCGTCGCGGCCTCCTCGGAGCGTTCTGGAATGTCCTGAGAGCGTTCGGGAACGCTGTGGAACGGATTTGTCCTCGTCCTGGCCCCGTCCGATGCAGGGCGGGCCTCAAGGACATCGAGGCTCGAGCCCGATCTCAGATCGAGGATCGTTAGATCCTCGATCGAGGATCGATCGATCTTCGATCCTCGATGGATCTTCAGTCGGGGTCGGGAAAACTCCAGGAGTTTGGCGCTCCCGGGGGTTTTCCAGCCTCGGGCGATGCTTTCCAGCAGCTGCGCCTCGCCGAGGACGTTCTGGGGGTGGCCAGATCCCTCCAAGCGCAGGCGCCAGCTATGGCCCGAGAGCAAAACCCAGGTTCCGTCGAGACCAGATCACGGGAGAAAGTCGTTTGCCAATTTCTGTCCCGGGGGGCCCTGTTGCCGGGCCGTGGGGCCGCCGAAAACAGGAAGAAAGAACGACTCCGAATGAGAAGCCGGTCCTGGGAAAGGGATCCACTCTATGAAAAAGCGCGAACTAGGGAGTCTGGGAGAGTGGATGGGGTAAAAGGGGCGCTGGCTCTCTGAGAAGGTAGGAGGGGACTCGTCGAAGGGCCACAGGAGCCTCCCTGCGAAGGCGGAAAGGACCTCTGAGCAGCACCCCTGTCCTCTCAGAAGACCGCGGCGAGCCACCGCCCTCACGTCACCCCCCCGGCACACCCGACGTCGCTTTGTTGGATAAGCTTGGCCCCCAGAACGGTCGCCCCCTTCGTGGGGACCAGACCGTCATCCCGGATCGTTTGCTGACGGCCCCAGGGCCCAAGACCCTCCAGAATCCGGGTGTGAAAAACAATACTTCGGAACTTCGGAAGACTGCGCTGATGCTGTTCCAGGCCAACTTCAAGAGTGCAACCCCGGAGGGAATTCGCGTACCCAGCTCCACCAAGGGGTCCCATCTGCACCCTCGGCGCTCTATGCACACGCCATTGCAATAACTTCCTCCTGGGCCGAAATCCGTCTTGACCCTCCAGGCTGAAGCTAGGCTTGAACATCCTCAGGCAGGACTTGGGTCGAACGAAGGGGGGGTGTAGCCGCATGCAGCTGGATTCCCCAGCGCCGCGCCCCTCAGCGCCGGGAGCGGCAATGCATCGAGCAATATGCCCGCCGGCGGGTCCAAAACCAGCTGCACGCAGCAGCCCTCGTGTCCCCCTCCTCTCCTCTCTCCTCCTTTCGTTCGTCCGCTGGCGGCGCGCACAACGGGGGAAGCAGCCTTCTACGAAGGCAGGGGAGCGTCCTAAAGGCAGGTGGCTTCTTGGAAGCCCTCCTGGTCACAAGGTCTCTCAGAAACCTTCTCATAAGCCTCCGGCCCACTCCTGCCTTCTGAAGGAGCCCCCCCCTTCTGCTCTGCGCCCCGACAAGCCCGCTCCGAGGGGCCCCCCCTTTGCTTTTGGCATGAAGGACATGGGCCCCGAGGGAGGAGGCGGGCATTGGACCCATAGGTAGAACCATCGAATCTCCTGAACCAATGGGAGGCGGGGGTAGGGTTCCGATTTCCCGACGTGCTCGACGAATTCCACGCCCCTACCCCCGCCGCCCATCGAGTTGCCTGAACCGTTGATCGACGAGGGTGGAGATCGGATTTCACCGCCGACCCATGGGACCTTCCACGGGACCAGCTCTTCATCCTGAGCCGTCTTCTGACCTCGGGACTCTTTCTCGAATAGGAGATCGACTACAGAACGGAATCACTCCAAAGTTGATTGCTCCGTCGAAATACGACACATGACATACGTAGAATGTAGAATGTTCGTAGATCTACGAACATACATAATTACTGTTTCGGTAGATTCGGCAAGACAAAAACACTCTGTGGTAAATAAAGTCTGTTCGGCGGCGAGCCCAGGGGGGAAGTGAGAAGGCGCGGGCCTTCTCAGAAGGATCGGAAGCCCCCGGCCTTCCGAGAAATGTCCTAAGTTTCCCCGATGGCACAGGAAACTTCTCAGGAGGCGCGAGGGCTTCTGACAAGCCCCGCCGCATTCTGAGAAGGCCTCTTCCTTCTCGCTTCCCCCCCCTCGATCGCCGCCGCTCCGAAGTCGACCTCCTACTCGACGTCTGCTCCCTTGCGACCTCCCGCGCGCCGCTGGCCTGCGCCGGGGCCACGGGCTCCCCCGGGCTGTACGCGGAAGCGCCGCCTGGCGCGGAGCCGCCGCCGCCGGGCGCGCGGCCCGCCCGCCCGGCATCGCCCGCCGGCGCCCAGCGGCGGGCCTGCGGCCGCGCGGCGTCCGCGCCGCCCAAGCCGCGGCCCCACCGCCGGCGGCCGCCGCCGCCGCCGCCGGCGGCCGCCGGGCCGCGGTCCATCGGAGGCCGCGGCCCCCGCGAATGACTGGCAAGAGCCCCGCGGCTCGGGAGCGGTGGCGGGAGGATGGCAGGGCTGGGGCGGGAGAGGGCGCCCAGAAGGCGGGTAGCCTTGCCTGCCGGGGGGCGGGCAGAGGCGCTGGGGCCGACCAGGGGGGCCGCCGGCGAACACTCTTTACGTCGCAGCGCGGCCGACGGGGGAAGAGAGGAGCGGCCGCGGGAGGAGGGGAAGCTGCTAATGCGCTCACGCAGCGGGGACCGCAGAGGGGCGCCCGGTGCGGCCAAGCCGGTGCTGCCGCCGGCGAAACCCGTGGGTGCCATACTTCCCCTGCTGCACTCGCAGTGGTCTGGCGCACCACCACGTCATACTTCTGTTAATACTATGCTGACTTCTTGTTTCTCACAAAACCGCGCGGGTCCGTTATCGTGAGCTCAGCCAAGCCTAGCGGTTTCCAATCGTTCGCACGTTGTCGCGTACCGCGCCAGTCTATCATGACATCAATGGAAAGCGCGCCTCAAAGGACCCGCCCCACCTTGAACGGTGATGTATGAGAGGAGGCCTTTCTGCCCACCTCTAGTCCAGACCTGGGGAACACTGAGCACTGAACTGTGCGCCCCCGCGTCACGCGGGACGGCCCTACGAGGGGCGGGGCGGCTGCGAATCGGCGCCGACAAGTATGTGAAAATATCATGCTGGGGAGGGGGCGAGGAGGGAGAAAAGGGAGCAAGGGAAAGGGTCAGTGGCTGGGAAATGGAGGATGGAGAAGCGGAGGGGGCAAGGAAGCATGAGGCCCGTCCTGGAGCCACCTGGAGAGCACCTCGGCCTCCTCCAGGGCCGGGCGGTCGAAACCAATTCGAGTTATTCCCGAGGTTCCCTAAATGGATGTATCGGCAACGTCGGGACGGAGAAAAGACCTCGGCGATGCGGCCGGAAACTCCGACCCCATCGTTTCTGGCCCCGTGTTTGAGGCCTGGGACGTGGAAGATTGAAGCACTACCCCTCCCCACCCCCCTCCCACCAGCATCGCCGACAACGACGCCGACGACGGCGGCGTTGGAGGCATCTCCAGTGGGACTAGATCAGATGAGGTACGAGGGTCGCGCCGCCTCGTCCGTGAATCGCCCATGCATCGGCGATGCCGGCGATGCATCGGCACCGTCGGCATGACAATCAGGCTCCAATTGAGCTCCCCCGAGCCCTTCTGAGAAGGCCCCTGCCTACTAGGAAGCTCCCCCACCTTCTTGGAAGGCCCCCCCTCGCGCCACCCCCATTGTCCGCGCCTCGGCCGCACGCCAGACTGACCTGGGCAAACGTGACTTCTGGCGCGTGGCATGACGGGGCACGGCCGCGGGGGGGCTTGCGGGGCCACGGGGGGAGGAGGGGGGGGAAGGGCCAAGTCCAAGCGGACGAGCCAGCGCTGGGACCTGCTTAGCTCGGGCCCCTCTGACGCGCAGCCAAGCGCCCCCCGACCATCTGCCCCGCGCGACGGCCCTCCGGGCCCGGGCCGCGCGCCGCCTGCGGCGGGTAGCCGCCGCCGCCCTTCCCAGCGCTGGCGCCCTTGGCGGGCGAGCCGGCAGAGCCGCCCTGTAGCGGGAGGGGGGGGGAGGGGGGCAGGGGGAGGAGGGGGAAGAGGGCCGCGAGGAGAGGAAGGACGGGGAAGATGAGGAGGGAGGACGGGTCGCCTATGGCAAAGAAGATAAAGATGGCAATGGACGTCCTAGATCGTCAACTCGGCCGTCATGGAAACTGCGATGCTCATGAGCGCCCGCCTCAAAGATGTCTTCCCGTCCTCCCCTGTGGCGCCGGCGCCGAGATCTCGGCTCCAGCGTCCTCGGATCATCCAGCGAGTCCGCGAAAGCAGCTGTGAATGAAAGTGGCGCCCTCCATGTAGCAATCTCTGCGTCGGGAACGGTCGCTGCCCGCATCTCCTCGTCCCAGTGGTGCGAATCCCGATGCCGAAGTCAAAAACCTCGGCGCGAGATTCGAGCCGCCAATGTCGAAGATGGATCAGCACCAGCCTTCGCAAGGCCATCGACGTACTCGTTTCCGGGGTTTTGGGCATGACTTTTCACCTAAACGGGATCGCATACAGAATACTTCGAATGCACTTGCCGCCATAAGAATCGCAAGGTTGACGCTAGACCTACGTTCGCCCTGGGATTACAGGTGCCCCTCAATATGTTCACACGTACAGAGAATCAAAAACGAACTTGATCTTCTGACCAAGGCACATCTGGCGCTCGGATTCCGGGAGCTCCGCCTGATACAACAACCAGACACACGCCTCCACTGGAGCTGATAACTCTCCAGTAGCGCTTGATACCCGGGCGGCTCCAATAAACAGCGACTGGGTGCTACCAATCTCTACGGGCCCACAACACTCGTATACAGGACGCTCTCCAATCCCAGGGCAGCCGGTAGAAAATAATGCGAAACCCCAGCCCCCTCTGCCCAGGAGACGGGCACGCTTGGCACTTCCTCGGCCGCGAATTCGGTCGAAGAAAGAGCCGTCGCAGAAGCAGCTCATCGCCTCGGTGTCCAGCCAAGCAGCGTGATAATGCCCAGCGCCTCCCACTGCCTCGACGAGCGAGTTCCGGTAAGAAGCGACATCCGAACAGCACTAGCCCACAGGCTTCTTCGGTAACGTCTCGGAGCACGCTACCGGAGTCCAGTTGGAAGAAGGGTGGGAGAGGCGTAAAGAAAGGATCAGAGGAACGTGATCCGTCGTCGTCGCCGTACACGAACTGACAGTGCAACTGGCATCTGCGTGGAGAACTCCCCGCGTAAGAAAATAATCGATCTGATTAGGAAGAAACCTGAAGTCATGACAACACGTGTGGTAACCCAGACGATGAAAATGATGAGTATTTGCAGCACATAAACCATACGAGCACATCTCTGCGAACAACTGTTGCGCCTTCCACGGCCGCTCCTTCCCCACAGGGTCCGCAATATCATGAGTATACGGGCCTACGAGTTCTTGGCAATCATCTACACCACGGAGGTTGCAGTTAGCATCCACTCCCAAAATCCGCCGGCCCCCTTGTGGGGCCACCAGGCTGCGAGGCGCGTGATTCGCAGTTTCCTGTACCAGTTGTAGTTTCTAGTTTCCAGTGTTACAATTCTGCTTCTTGCTGGTTACTGTAACTAATTGACTTCTTGCTGGTTACTGTAACTAGTTGATTGACCGCGCGAGGGGGGGGGAGGCCCAAACGGGATTTTTAGCATCCCCTGGGCGCGTTGTCTGAATTGCTGGGGGGGCTCGAAATCGACACCCCTCACGCAGATCCGCGGGGTCAGGGTCCACAAACACATGGGATTTGCTACATTTCTGAAAGTCGGTGCCACCCCTCACGCAGATCCGCGGGGTCAGGGTCCAAAGACACGGGGGATTTGCCACATTTCTGAAATTCGGTGCCACCCCTCACGCAGATCCGCGGGGTCAGGGTCCAAAAACACATGGGATTTGCCACATTTCTGAAATTCGGTGCCACCCCTCACGCAGATCCGCGGGGTCAGGGTCCAAAAACACATGGGATTTGCCACATTTCTGAAATTCGGTGCCACCCCTCACGCAGATCCGCGGGGTCAGGGTCCAAAAACACAGGGATTTGCCACATTTCTGAAATTCGGTGCCACCCCTCACGCAGATCCGCGGGGTCAGGGTCCAAAAACACATGGGATTTGCCACATTTCTGAAATTCGGTGCCACCCCTCACGCAGATCCGCGGGGTCAGGGTCCAAAAACACATGGGATTTGCCACATTTCTGAAATTCGGTGCCACCCCTCACGCAGATCCGCGGGGTCAGGGTCCAAAAACACATGGGATTTGCCACATTTCTGAAATTCGGTGCCACCCCTCACGCACATCCATCGCAAGGCGTGGTAACCCAAACTGCGAGTACTCCCTCGGCCCTTTAATCCCAAGGTGTGGTAACCAAGCTCGTAAACCATACACGTCTTACCAATCGCCCTGTGTGGTAACCCCTCTTGTGATCAGTTGGTTTTGCCGATTGCGAATCGGCCTCGCATGAAGTTCCGATACTGCTGCACGACAGCGCCAAAGCCTCATGACTTAGCTCTTCCATGGCCCATTCTCCGAGAGAGGGGGCCGGCGGCAGGGAGCGAAGCCCTTACGGATAGTCTTAGCATCATTTGGAACCGACTTCACAAGCGTTACCAAATCCAATAGAGATTTATGGTACTCTGCTTTGCTAGTAGACGAATGTAGGTGCCCTGTTCCATATATGATCGGCCCCAACTCCGGGTGGCGGCAATAGACCCCTGCCGCTCTCTCAAGAATGCTAGGCTCTCCCATCAACTTCAAGGCCGAGTCCTGGTGGACGACGACAGCCGCCTGCTTGGCTCCCCGTATAGGACAGCAGCAGTAGACCGAATGGCCCTGGATAGAAGTAGGTGGCTTCGCTTTTCTGAGAGATAAAAACTCTTGAAATTAGCAAACTGACCAATTGAATTCACGCCCTAACTCGGTAAATAAGTCCTCCAACTCTGCTAAAGGAACAACAACAACAACAACAACAACAACAACAACAAGAACAACACCCAACAACAACAACAACAACAACAACAACAACAACAACAACAACAACAACAACAACAACAACAACAACAACAGCAACAGCAACAGCAACAACAACAACAACAATAACGACAACAACAACGACATGACAACAACAACCACAACAACAACAACAATCACAACAACAACCACAACCAGAACCACAACCGCAACCACAACCACAACCACAACAACAACCACAACAACAACCTCAACCACAACCACCACAACAACAACAACTACTACTACTACTACGACAAAAACAACCACAACAACGACACAACAACAGCAACGACAGCAAAAAACACAACAACAACAACAACAACAACAACAACAACAACAACAACAACAACAACAACACGAACAACAGCAGCAGCAGCAACAACAACAACCACAACAACCACAGCAATATCATTAAAACAACAATAATAATAATGACGACGACGACGATATCAACAACAATTACAGCAGTAACAACAACAACAACGACAACAACAATACCACCACCAACAACAACCATAACCACAGTCACAACAGCAATAAACAAAACAACAACAACAACAACAACAACAACAACAACAACAACAACAACAACAACAACAACAACAACAACAGCAGCAACAACAACACTAGCAACGACAATAGCAACAACAGCAGCACCAACAACAATAACAACAACCACAACCACATCACAACCACAACCATAACCACAACAACGACAACAGCAGCAACAACAACAAGAACAACAATAACAACAACAAAAGCAAGCAGCATCAAACACGTCGCAAACAAACAAACAAAAAAAACTTACAGTCGGTGCCCCCGAGGCCCGGATGCCTGGTTGAAGCCGAAGGATCCGCGCCCCCGAGGCTCCCAGGCGTCCCCCAGCGCCCCCGAGCGCTCCAGGAGCACCAAAGCGCTACCAAGCGGCCCCCGGCGTGCCGCAGGCGGTCCCAAGCGCTCCCAGGCGCTCGCAGACGTCCCTCAGGCGCTCCCAAACGCCCCCAGGCAGCGCCAGGCGCTCCCAGGCAGCGCCAGGCGCTCCCCAGGCGGCCCCGGGCGCTCCCCAGGCGGCCCCGGGCGCTTCCAGGCGCTTCCGCACGCCTGAGACGTTCCCGGGCCCTACGCTCCAGGGGCGCCCAAGCGCTCCTCGGCGGCTCCAGGTGCTCCTGAGGCTGCCCAGGGCGCTTGCGGGCGCTCCCAGGAGTCCCGAGGCTTCCATGCGCCCCCAGACGCTCCCAGACGCTCCAGGAGCGCCCAAGCGCTCCCAGGCGCTCCCGAGCGCTCCCAGACTCTCCAGGAGCGTCCAGGCGCCCCGAGCCGCCCCCCAAGCGTCCCAGGCGCTCCCAAACGCTCCCAGGCGCGCCCACACGCTCCAGAAAGCTCCAAGAGGCCCCAGGAAGCGTAGGAGGCCCCGAGAAGCTTCAGGAGGAACTAGGAGGCCCCAGAGGAAGCTCCAGAAAGCCCCAGGGGAGCCACAAGAGTCCCCAGCAAGCCACAGAAAGCTGACAGGAAGCCCCAGATGACGCGGCTCGACGGATTCCAAGAAAGCAGTGCGACTTCTTTCTCGTATCATCCACCCTCCCCCCGCGAGGTGGTCGCGTAGCGATGCGCCCGCATATACGGCGCGTTCGCGGCGCATGCTCGTCCAGTCGCGGTCTGCCCCGGCGCCCCCCGGCGCTCTCAGGTGCCCTCCGAGGCGCGCGGAAAGAGCAGTTTGGCTTGCGCCCAGGCTCTTCCGAGGCTTCCCCGAACTCCCGGACAACACGTTGTTAGTTGATCGGTATCCGGTGTCGATCTGACAGTCCTCAGCCACCAGGCGCACCAGGTAGGAGGCCCTAGAGGAGACCCAGAAAACCCTAGGGGAGCAAAAGGAGCCCAGAAAGCCGGAGAAAGCTCCCAGGACGCTCGCCATGACGGCGGAGTTGATGGTTATGCGTGTTGCCCTCAAGTGCAATTTCCGGCGCTGGCTGCCTGGGGTTTGTTGCCCCAAGTGTAAGGGGTGACAGTCGCGATAATGGCAGCCGAAGCAAACAGGGATTGCGTGCGTCGGTTTTTCGGCAAGGACGTCCTCTAGTCAGCTGGCTTGCCACCTTCATCTTAGCAAAGTGCTGAGTCAATCAATTCAAAATGACATCGTGGACGTCGTCGTCGTCCTTCTCATCAATCTTAGCGAAGTGCTGAGTCAATCAATTCAACACGACATCGTGGACGCCGTCGTCGTCCTTCTCCTCATCATCCTCCTGCTCCTGGGAAAGAGAAAACGAGGACGAGGTCCCTGGCCCGAGGTGCTCCCAGCGTTTCGCCGAGACTCGGACCCCTTGGGGCCTGAGCCTCGTGAGGGGTGTCCTGAGAGCCACACCTGGCGTCTCTGGAAAGCCTGGGGCCGCCCTGGGCCGGGGCCACCCCTGGCTCGGTGGTTCAAAGATGGGGGCCTACGGTTAGGAAGGGGTCCGAGGGTGGATTTACATTGTTTGAGGCGCCTCGTCCTCAGGACCCCATCACTCAGGACCCCATCTTTGAGCCGCCGACTGGCAGCACCCGAGCGAGGAGGGGCCTATAGGTGCGACACGAGACCGAGCTCGCCGCGCGCGCGCTCCTTGGCCGGCGCCGCCGCTCCCGCCGGGGCGGCGTGGGCGCCGCCCGCAACGCCCGCACCGCCCTTCGCGGCGGCGGCGGGCGCACCTGGGGAGCTCAGGGGCGCGGAGGGGCCTCGCGCGAGACGGCACGGCGACCCCGCGCGGCGGCTCACGCGGGCCGCCAGCACAGCACACCGCGGCGGAGAGGAGGGCGCTCGCGCGCGACCCCGCAGGGAGAGCTGGCGCACGGATGCCTGCGAGGTGGCGCACGGGTGCTGCACATCGCGCGCCAGGGGAGCCGAGGTGAACACGCCTGCCTCCCTCCTCCAAGGGCTCCCTGCCCAGAAAGGGAGAGGTCAAGGGGGAGCGAGAGGGAAAACTGACGGGGGTGGCCATCACAGGAGAGCTTGTTGTTCCCTGGCAGGGTGGCGCCATCCCTGGCAGGGCCCATCGACAGGGCACCTCCCACCCCCACATTACCCATCATCCAGGACGTCGGCTCCACCCGTTCGCTTGGCCTGGGTCCTCGAAAGGACCACCAAAGCATGACGGTCGAGAGCGGAGGCCAAACGCGATCAGCACTGACTACATGGCCAGACGGGGGCGACGGACTATTTCGAAAATGGGACCACCATCGGAGCCACTGTCAACCCTGAAGGTCCCACAAGGTCTACCCCGAGGTGCCGAGAGAACCGATCCCTGGAAGACACGGACGAAGACCTCGAGGGCCCAAGCGAAACAAGAGAAAGCCGTCGCGTGAAAACCGTCTCGCAAACGCTTGCGCACCGTGAACGCTGATACTCCGGAGACGACTCTCGCCTTCACAGGTGGCTCGTGAGCCCGCGCTGCATTGGGGTGCCAGCGCACTGCCAACAGCAGGGGCAATACATGATCGGAGGACCAGCGAGTCGCCTGCCAACCGGGGCCCGAGGGCCAGCCGCGCAGCGGCTCTCGGGCGACACTGCACGTCTGCGGTTGCCGCTCGTTCGCTCCCCGGTCAGCACCTCCTTTGCCGGCGGCGGGCGTGCCGCCCTTGCTGGCTGCAGGCGCGGCAGCCGCGGGCACGCCACCCTTGCCAGCGGCGGCGACCGCGCCGCCCTTGCCGCTGGCGGGCGCCGCGGCGGCGGCCGCGCCGCCCTTGCAGCCAGCGGGCGCGGAAGCGGCAGGGGATGCCACGGCAGGCGCCGCGCCTGCGTATCGCGGAAGAGAGGGGAGAGGAGGGCGAGAAGGCGGAATCAGTCATCATCGAATCGGGGTGGCTATACCGGCACGGAATCGAAACCGAATAGGATGGGCCGCGCCATGATGCCCAAGTTCGCTGCGCAAGCCTCGGGCCGCATCGGACAGACAGACTGACAGACAGACAGACAGACAGACAGACAGACAGAGAGACAGACAGAGAGACAGACAGACAGACAGACAGACAGACAGACAGACAGACAGACAGACAGACAGACAGACAGACAGACAGACAGACAGACGGACGGACGGACGGACGGACGGACGGACGGACAGACAGACAGTTGGGCGGACGGACGGACAGACAAACAGCGCACTGGGCTAAGCGTGCACGTGCGCATGGGAAAAGAAGCGTTGTGCCTCCCAGGGTGGGGGAGAGAGGAAAACACAGGGGGTGGTCCTCACGCATGAATGCACTCGACGAGTGCACCTTCATCCCATTCTTGTACGCTTTCAGGGGGCCAGAGGGGGGAGGTTTGCAGATCCGTTTTGTAAGAAGGGAAACTCACAACGCGAGTTTTGCGCAACTGATCGGACAACCCTCCTGTCCACGATATCAGCCATCTACGAGGCTCTGAAAGGATCTTATCACGTTCCCTTCTGAACTCAAGGAGCCACGTTTGCACCAGCACGAAGAACTATCTAACATCGCCTCGGGCGTCGAGGACATCACATGCGAGAGGATCGTGTCTGTTGACACCTGAGCTCCCCAGCCCCCACTTGACTCCACCCTTCCCGCCAACGTCCTGCTCCAGTGGCGGCGTCATCGCGCCATGTAAACTACTGCGAAAGTGCCGCAACATCTGACGGCAAACCCCGACTCAACTTGCATCACCGGAATGAAAACGAAGAGGGCGAGGAGTAGGGAGAAGAGGCTGGGCAAGAGGAAAAAGGTCGAGCCGACGCATGCCTCGCGCGTACACAAGACAGTGGTGCGGCGAGGACCGCGAGGGTGGGCGGCAGAAGGGGCGGAAGCAGGGCGGAAGCGCACACCTCAGCTCTGGCCGAAGTGGAAGATCCAATACTAGATGGGATGCGCACTCGAAACAAGAGAAACAATCCCCACACACCTTTTAGGCCCAGAACCTCGCCCAGGCGTGCATATAAGCTGTCGATATAAAAGGAAGCCTTTCTCATATTGCAACAGCTCACTCACTGACGAAGTTTTCCTATCGACATTCTGGCCTGGTAACCGAGCTTACATCACATTCGAGCGGACGAGTGTGTACAAGTCCTCTCATTTGACGCCCAGCGCCAGAAAGAGACTTAGCGAGCACGGTGCAACAGGGCTCAAGGGTGGTTCGTGGGTGGGCGGACTTGAGCCACCGCGGTCGCGGAAGGCACGCAGTGGCTCGGCATTTACAAAGCGGGCGAAGAAGTCCCTTGGGGCATTCACGTCCACGACTGAGCACACCCCTCTTAGGCCCAGAACCTCACCCAGACGCGCATATTCAGCAAAGCTGCCGATGTTGATGGAAAACCTTCTCATCTTGCAACAGCTCACTCACTGACAAAGCTGTCCTATCAATACTCTGGCCAGGCAAGGCAATCGAGATTACATCACATTCGAGCGGACGAACGCACGCAAGTCCTCCCAGTTGACGCCGACGCCCATATCAAGAGCGGGTGGCTTGCTACTTGGAACGCAATGTTCGAAGGAGCTCTCGCGGCAGGCGCTTGCTGCGGTCGGCCGTCTGCTGCTGCCCACCTTAGGGGGCCTTCCGAAGCTGCTGGGGGATGAGGGCCCCGTTCTCGTTGCGAGCCACCGAAGCGGGCGATGCCCGTCGGCCGCGTTTCTGAATCTCCTTCAGGGCTCTCCAGGGGCGCGCCTTGTCGACGGAGGCCCCCGAGTGCCTGGACGCGCGAGGGCGCGCCCCGAGGGAGGCGCGGCCCTGGCGGGCAGCGCCCCCCCTCACCTCGCGCTCGTACTCGGCAAGGCTGCAGCCGAAGACCTTCTTGGAGTCGGGCGCCTGGTGCCTGCGCGGCTTCTTCAGCGGGCCTGTCAGCCAGGGGCGGGCCACGTCGCCGACCAGCAGTCGCCCCGGCCGCCCGTCTTCGCGGCCTCGCGCCGCCCGAAGGGCGCGACGACGATGCCAAAGTGAGCGCCGAGCTTCGCGGCCGGCGCCGGCGGCGGGATGTGGCCCTGCCGCGGCAGCGCCACCTCGGAGGGCCGCGCGCACGCGCCTGTCTGCAGCTCCACCGCGGCCCCCATCACGGGCAGGTCGCGCCCCGCCAAGTCCCGCGCGATGTCGTCCACGATGATGTCGGGAAGCGGAAGCCGCATCCGACCTGGCGAACGTTGGCTCCAGCCTTTCGAAGACGCCCAAGCCTGGGGGGTCCACCTTGCCGGTCGTCTGGAGCCTCAGCAGCGCGCAGCCGTAGATGGCGTCGCGGCCTCCCCAGACTCCGAAGCCGTCGTCGAACAGGTCCACGAAGTAGCTGGAAAGGCTGGCGTCGAGCTGGCCAAGCGGCTACAGGGCCGGCCCCCTGGCCTCGGCGTAGACCTCGAACTCGCGCACGGCCGCCGCGCACCTCTCCAGGGTCCCGCTGGCGACCGTCACCATGATCGGCGAGTCGCTCCGCGGCACGCGGACGGGGCCCACGCGCCGCGGGGCCGTCGGCCGTCGCGGCGCCCCCCTGCCCAGCAGCCGCTGCCTGACAGCGCGGATGGGCCCTCCAGCGCAGGGGCCGCTCGTCCTGACCGAACTGGACAGCAATGCGTCGGCAGCCTGGCAGGCGGGCCCGGGGAGCCCGCCGCCCTTCTGGCGCAGCGCCCCTCCTCCAGCCGCCGGCTGACCATGGCGGACCTCGCGCGGATCGAAGGCCCGCGGGCGCCAAGGCCAGGAGGCTGGCCCAGCATGAGCTCAACGCCCAACGATACGCAGCAGCACGAGGGGCGAGGTGCCCGCGCAGCGTGACCGAGCGTCGACCCTATGCCCGAGGACGATCCCCCAAGCCATGCAGCGTTTCGACGTTAGCGAGAGGGCGAACTGGTTCCCTATGGGCCGTGCCGCACATGCTCATACCGAAGTTAACTTTCATGACTCTCGGGAGCCCACGGAGCCGAGCGACGGGGTCGAAATTCCAGAGCCTCGAGGCCCAGGGGGGGCCACACTCCAGTAACACCCACGACGCGATAGTACATGACATAGCGTGGCCGTGAACAGTGCGAACTCGATTCCAAGACGCCCCCTAGTTCTTGCCCGCACATGGTTTCGACTCCCGCGTTGAGCTAAGCTCCAGGTTCCAATGGTTCCCAAGTGCACATACAACAGACGCCCCTCACGGGCCAGGCACAGGATAAAATCTTCAGCACTGCGACGAGATAAATCAAACTCCCAACCATCTTCGATATCAACAGAATCAGCAAAAGGAAGGATCACCGACCAGCAAACTCGAGTCAACTCTCCCAACCCACCGACGAGCTGTTTTAAATAATATGTTTTATTCTCTTGCACAGGGTGTCTAGAGCTCCGACCACTTTATTTCGGCACCGCACCCCCCCCCCCCCTTCATCATCATCACCATCATCATCATCATCATCATCACCATCATCCTCACCATCATCATCGTCATAATCACCATCATCATCATCATCCACATCATCATCATCATCATCATGCGCCCCCTCCGTCTCAGCGCCCTCCCGCGGCTCCAGCGCCCGCCCAGTGCCCCCTCCGCCCCGACCACTTTATTTCGGCACCGCACCCCCCCCCGCTCCGCCCCCTCCCCCGCGCCGTCTCAGCGCCCCCCCGCGGCTCCAGCGCCCGCCCAGTGCCCCCTCCGCTTCGACCACTTTATTTCGGCACCGCACCCCCCCCCGCTCCGCCCCCTCCCCCGCGCCGTCTCAGCGCCCCCCCGCGGCTCCAGCGCCCGCCCAGTGCCTCCTCCGCCCCGACCACTTTATTTCGGCACCGCACCCCCCCTCCCCGCTCCGCCCCCTCCCCCGCGCCGTCTCAGCGCCCCCGCGCGGCTCCAGCGCCCGCCCAGTGCCCCCTCCGCCTCGACCACTTTATTTCGGCACCGCACCCCCCCCCGCTCCGCCCCCTCCCCCGCGCCGTCTCAGCGCCCCCCGCGGCTCCAGCGCCCGCCCGGTGCCCCCTCCGCTTCGACCACTTTATTTCGGCACCACCCCCCCCCCCGCTCCGCCCCTCCCCCGCGCCGTCTCAGCGCCCCCCCGCGGCTCCAGCGCCCGCCCAGTGCCCCCTCCGCCCCGACCACTTTATTTCGGCACCGCACCCCCCCCCGCTCCGCCCCCTCCCCCGCGCCGTCTCAGCGCCCCCCCGCGGCTCCAGCGCCCGCCCAGTGCCCCCTCCGCCTCGACCACTTTATTTCGGCACCGCACCCCCCCCCGCTCCGCCCCCTCCCCCGCGCCGTCTCAGCGCCCCCCCGCGGCTCCAGCGCCCGCCCAGTGCCCCCTCCGCCACGACCACTTTATTTCGGCACCGCACCCCCCCCCCGCTCCGCCCCCTCCCCCGCGCCGTCTCAGCGCCCCCGCGCGGCTCCAGCGCCCGCCCAGTGCCCCCTCCGCCACGACCACTTTATTTCGGCACCGCACCCCCCCCCCCGCTCCGCCCCCTCCCCCGCGCCGTCTCAGCGCCCCCCCGCGGCTCCAGCGCCCGCCCAGTGCCCCCTCCGCCCGACCACTTTATTTCGGCACCGCACCCCCCTCCCCGCTCCGCCCCCTCCCCCGCGCCGTCTCAGCGCCCCCGCGCGGCTCCAGCGCCCGCCCAGTGCCCCCTCCGCCACGACCACTTTATTTCGGCACCGCACCCCCTCCCCGCTCCGCCCCCTCCCCCGCGCCGTCTCAGCGCTCCCCGCGGCTCCAGCGCCCGCCCAGTGCCCCCTCCGCCCCGACCACTTTATTTCGGCACCGCCCCCCCCCCCGCTCCGCCCCCTCCCCGCGCCGCTCAGCGCCCCGCGCGGCTCCAGCGCCCGCCCAGTGCCACTT